CCAGCAGGGACCTGGGATGCAGCAGAACCTGAGTGGATGCTGGGGATGAGCAGGGTGGGCAGCCCCTGGCATGGCACAGCAGCTCTGTACACTCCCTGGTTTCAGAACTGAGCTGGTGTCACTGCTGACTCACAGTTTCCGGCCCCTCACACACGTGCAGTGGGTTCTCCCAGTGCTGCTCTGCGTCACAGCCCCGTGTCCGGCCACACTGGGAGCTCAGAGCTGCTCCCCACTGGGGACAGGGACCTGGGTGAGGCTTCAGAGTGTCCAAATTTGTTCAGCGACACAAAATACCTCGAAACAAAAGGTGAGGGAGGTGTGAACAATGCCACTCACCCAGTCAGTGTGAGAGAGACCTGCCCCTGGCTCCTCGTCCTGCTGTGCTGTGCTGACTCTGGGTGCTGGTGTGGAGCAGAGGGTCCTGGTCACCTTCTTACTGGCAATGACCATGTCCCTGGGCAGCATTGGTGCAACCACTGGGGACACAGAACCATAGACTGGGTTGGGTTGGAAGGGACCTTAAAGACCATCTCGTTCCAACCCCCTGCCCCGGCACGGACACCTCCAGTGTGACACTTCCAGGGACATCCATGCAGGTTTGTGTCCCTGCCTGAGAAAGTCCTGTACCACCCTGAAAACACAGATTTGGATCCCCCCAAAGCTCTCTGGTTCCCAAAGGCAGGTAACCAGGGGAGGTGTATTTGAGTCTGCTCCGTGCCTCAGTTTCCCTTTCCACAAGAAAAAAACCTCTTTTGAAGGAACAGAGGGGACACTTGATTGACACTTGATCTGTAGGGACCAGACTCCCCTCTGTGTGTGACCCCAGCACTATTACTCTGCTCCCTTTGTCCCAGAGGCTCCTCAGCTCCTGAGAATGCTTTTGGCATTCCTGTCCTTGAGTAAAGCACTCAAAAACCACCTCCTGGGCAAACTCGGCTTTAGGGGAACAAAGAAATGGCCTTTGAGAAGGAGATTGTGCAGAAAGATCACAGATAGGTGAGCTCAGCCTTACATATGAAGAGGAGAAGTAGACAGACCAGGATTTCTCAGGATTAGGAGGATTTTCTCCCCCAAATCTGGTATTGCACAATTTCCTCTGGGGGATTTGAGATCTTCCTCCCAAGCAGATGCTCTGGGGGATCCTCACAGCAGTAAAGGGACTGCCAAGGGCTGATCCCTGTGGGGGTGTCAGTACAGCAGCTCCCACCAGGTTTGGGGTCTCCAAGGTACAGGTGGTTGGGGCTGGGCCACTCCCAAGGTCACCTTTGTCAGTGTGATGGTCTGGCAGGCACAACCTGAGCTCAAATACCCTTTGACGTGACAATGTGCCACATCCCTCAGATGGGGACACACTGGGGACTCTTCATGGGCTGAGCCCCAAATACTGGCCTTGGGGACAGGAACAGGGATGGGGACTGCTGCTCCAGTGCATGATGCCATCCCCTGCCACCCACACCTCCTGTTGTCATGCATCCGGCACAGCCTGGAGCAGGATCTGAGCAAGTGTGAGAGCACCTGAAACCAGACAGCCCTGCCAGGCTGGGCCAGCCAGGACGGGGAGGATGGGCTTGGGGGCAAATGGCAGTGAGGTGGTCACGGAGCTGCCGGGGTGACACAGTGTGTGCCTCAGTGTGGCTCCCCAGCACCGAGAGAGCACTGCCCCAATGTCACAGAGCTTCTCCAGGGCTCAGGGCACCTCCTGGCACCAGGCAGGGTGTGACGGGGGCAAAATGGGACTGGAGGGGGGAGGAGGCAGCAAGACTGGAGCCAGTGGTGCAATTTCCTCTCCCTTCTCTTCCTTCTCTGCTAAACTCGGAGTGGGTGGCAGCATGCCCAGAGAGCTGGGGCTGGCATGACCCTGGGGCTGTGGGCATTGTCCCCCACCCGGGCTGGGAAGAATTTCATGGTGCTCCCAAACCCCAAAGGGGCTCGGGTTGGCATTTCACAAGCGCCCAGCCAGCCCCCATGGCTGCTGCCCAGCAGCTTCACGGGGACAAAGGGGACACATTGCATGGCAGCACGTGGCAGCTGCCCTGTGCTGCCCACCCCTCTCCTGCGTGGGACCCTGGGGAGCATGTCACAAGGCTGAGCAGGATGAGACAGGGCCAGGATGTGCTGGCACGTGGCTCACAGCCTCTGCTGTCCCTGGGGATCTGGGACCCCCATGGGGACAGCAGGGTGGCTCGAAGGCTGCTGCTGCAGCAGGATGGGGAGAGCCAGAGGCAGAGCCCAGCTCAGGATGCCCCTGGGCCAGGCTCAGGGTGACTGCCCACCGTGGGGAAGCACTTTGGGGTCTCAAAGTCCAGTCCTGCTGTCAGTGGGGATCCAAAGGGCACGGGGGCCTCCGGGGAACTGCCTTTCATCATGTGCTGGAGCCGTGCCAGCCACGGCAGCTCCCGTGGGGCTGTGCCAGCGCCGGGGACACGTGCTCGGTGCTGGCTGTGGAGCTGTGCCAGTGCCCTGCAACGGCGGGGCACGGCAAGAGTTATCCTGTCCCGTGGGCAGCCCCTCCATCCCTGTCACCTGCAGTGCTGCCACAGCCCCGGGGCTCTACCACCCACCCACCCACCACCACCTGTTTGCGCAGGCGGCGCCGCAGCGAGAGGCCTCTCGGCTCTGTTTGCCCAGTGCCTCGAGAGGCCGGGATGAAAGGGCTGCGTGGCCCCTCCAGCCCTCTCCAGCGGTGCTTCCGCACCTTCAAAGCATCCGGAGCCCCTTGAAGCCGGGACAAGCACCTGCCTCACCCTGGGAAAAGCCGGAGACATCCCGGAGGCCAGCAGGGAGGGGGAAGGAGACGTGGCTGAGAGCTATAGGCTGTGGGAGGCTTTGCTTCTGTGCCCGAGGATGTGTTGGCGTTGGATGGAACAGGCGGTTTGGGGCAGTGCCAGCCGTGTCCCCAGCCATGACCACTTGTCCCTGCAGGTGCTGGGACAGGACAAGCCTCTGTGGCAGCTCAGTCTCTGCCCTCAGTGCAGGGTGATTTGTTTCCTACTGAGGAAGAGGGGGCATCACCAACGACGCCTTCCCGGGGAGGGGAAAGGACTGGGAGCAGCCCTAGGGTGGGAGGATTCTGGCCTGGGACAGGGCTGGGAACTGGGGCCAACGCTGAGACAGGAGCAGAGAGGGAGCATCAGCCCGGGCTCCAAGGGGATACCTGGATCCCGCAGCTCCTGCCCCAACCCCACAGGCATGCGGGCAGGATTGGGATGCTCGGGGCTGCTCTGGAAGGGCCAGGAGGGCATGCAGGGTGCTGCGGCCATCGCGGGGACCTCACGGCAGCGTCGCGGCTGGGAAACCACAGCCCCGGGCGAGCACCAGCACCCTCCCAGATGCGGGAGCTGGCAAAGCTTCGCAAGCTCCGCTGCGCCCCGAGCCAGCAAGGGAAGGGCTGGAGCTGCCCTCGGGCACACCGGGGCACGTCGGGCTCCCCCGGGGCACCCCCCCGCGTGGGGAACGCCGGGCCCAGCACGCCAGCCCAGGCGCCCGATCGCCGGCGCTTGCTCCTCTGCCTGCCCCCCGCGCCGCCTCGCTAACGGGGGAACTGAGGCAGCGGAGCCAGCGCCGGCCCCGCGCCTGCCCTCCAACGCGGGTCGGGGTGCCCGTGGGGTGTCGCCCGCCGCGTCCCCGTCCCCGCCGCCCACGGACGGTGGTTCCGCGGGCCCAGCAGGTGGCGCCCCGCGCCCAGCCGGTGGCGGCGAACGGAGTCCGGGACCCGGGAAGGACCGGGAGGGACCGAAAGGGGACCGGGGGAAAGCGGGGGGAGCTCGTGATGGCACCGCACGGGGCAGCGCTGTCGTTGCGGGGTCGTGGGCTGGGCTTGTCTGTGCTGATCCGTGCCGGGCTACACTGCTCTGGGCTGTACTGGGCTGTACTGGGCTGTACTGGGCTGTACTGGGCAGTGCTGGTCTATGCTGGGCTACACTGGGCTGACTGCACTGGGCAGCACTGGGCTGTGCTGGGCTGTGCTGGTCCAGGAAGGGCCGTGCAGGGCTGGGCTGCACTGGGTTGTACTGGGCTGTGCTGGTGCATGAAGGACCATAGAGGGCTGTGCAGTGCTGGGCAGCGCTTGGCTGTGCTGGGCTATACTGGTGGCTGGACTGGGACAATTTCCTCCCAGCATGGCCGATGCTGCATCCCAGGGACCAGTGCCCAGCATCCCCCTCCCTCCCAGCTCCCACTGCCACCGGCTGGGGCAGATCCTCTGTCCCCATCCACACTGGGTGGCAAAAGGAGGGTGCTGGAGCTGAAGTGGGTTCACACAGGCTGTGGGGGCAATCTGCTCGTTCCAGGTGGACTTTGTACCAGCGTGTGTGTGTGTGTGTGTGTAATGATGTCACAGCTGTTAGTCCAGGAGGTGAAAGTCTCTCCGTGTCCTCATAACATTAATTGCTCTTCCTAGAAGGACCCTGGCAGTGGAGAGATGCAACATCCTGCTGGGCTTGCTCGGATCCCACCATCTTATATTGGATGTTGGGGAGAAATTCCTCCCTGGGAGGGTGGTGAGGCCTGACACAGGTTGCCCAGAGAAGCTGTGGCTGCCCCATCCTTGGACGTGTCCAAGGCCAGGTTGGACGGGGCTTGGAGCCACCTGGGCTAGTGGAAGGTGTCCCTGCCCATGGCAGGGGGTGGAACGAGGTCCCTCCCAACCCAAACCGCTCTGTGATTCCGTAATTCCATGGTGCTCCAGTTTGCTTTGCCACCATGCTCAGCCGAATGTCCCCAGGCTGGTGGCATCGCTGCGTGCCTCTCCTTGCAGAGGGGGGGACCCCCAAACCCTGGCAGGACAGCGCAGGGGGCGGCCGCTGGTTCAGAGCCCCGTTACCGGAGGCTCCGGGGGGGCCGCGGGATCGCTCCGCCGTGCTCCCGGGGGGGCGGAGGAACGAGGGCGAGGGTCCCTCCCTCTATGAAACGCAGGCCCCGCGATTGGCGGGGCGGGGCCGGCTCCGTTCGGCCCGGGCTAAAGAAAGCGGGGGAACAATGCGCACCGCGGTCCCGGCTCGGGGGCTGGCGCCGGGGTGGGGGTTCCCCCTCATCCCTGGGGCTGCCCCGTTCCTGAGCGGGGCTGCCCCCCGTTTTTTCTCTCTGTCTCCCCCTTCCCCATGCCGAGATGGAGTTTGACTCGTACCAGCATTACTTCTACGACCACGATGCCCAGGAGGATTTTCACCGCTCCACGGCTCCCAGCGAGGACATCTGGAAGAAGTTCGAGCTGGTCCCCACGCCCCCTCTGTCCCCGCTGGGTACCCCCGGGGAGAAGGGGTGCTGCTCGGGGGCGGAGGAGCGCTCGGGATGGCTCTCCCGGTACTGCCTCGCCGGGGAAGAGCCGGAGTATCTCATAGGGACCGGACAGATCTTCGGGAACCTGAGCGCTTTCATCCTCAAGGATTGCATGTGGAGCGGATTTTCAGCCCGGGAGAGACTGGAGAAGGCGATGACGGAGAAACTTTCCACGGGCACGCAGAGAGCCACCCCACTCAAACCCTCCTTCGCGCAGGATTTTGGGTTCAGCAGCTCCGTGAGCGAGTGCGTGGATCCCGCTGCCGTCTTCCTTTGCCCGCTGGCCGAGAGCAAGATCCCCGCATCCTCGGGATCCGAGGGCCAAAGCGACTCCGGTAAGGGATGGAGCTGCTCCGCCGCCGGGGCGCGGGCTGCCCCGGCCCAGCCACCCTCCAGCCTTGCTGGAGCCCGGCGTGGAGGACACGCGTGTCCACACATGTGCGTGCCGGGAGCCTCCCAGCCGGGCTGCGCCTTTGTTGAGGCTCCAAGCGAGCCCCGGTCCCGGCCCCACGAACAAAGCGGGCTCGGCTTCTCCCCTTCCCGCGGGGCTTCTGCTCGGGAAACCCCTGCCCCTCTCGGGACGGTGCGTGGGGCTCTGGTGGCCCGTCTCCCTCGTCCCGGGAGCCTCGTGGGCAGGTTGAAGGGCAAGTTTGCAGCTCGCCGTGGGAAGTTTTGGTTTTTCGAGCGTCGCAGCGTGCCCTGCTGCCGGCTCGTAACTTCGGCTGATTCCTCCTGCGCTCCCACGGCCCACCCGGGACGGGCTTCCTTCGGGACAAAAGGCAAATTTTTATCCCCTGGGGGCAGCAGGTTTAGGAGCAGCGGCGTGTCCCCCGAGCGGTGGCTCCGTGGGACGGGCAAGCGAAAGCCGCATCATTCTTCCCAGCCCAGCCCCGGGGCAAAACGTCTGCCAGATAGATAGAGGATGAATACACACGGGGGCTCGCCTGGGAAAGAGGAGGATGAACCCGACCAGCCAAGGGCGAACGTGGCTCCACCCTCCCGCCGCATCTCCCCCGTCTCGCACCAATTTTCATCCTTATTTACAAACATCCCCGGGGCTCTCCAACACAGAAGCAGCCCCGGCGGGGGACCGTGCGCTGTTTCCTCGTCCCACCGGCCAGCCGGGCTGACTCGGGCTGCCTGCGGTAGCCGTGACCCCGTTAATAAATCTGCCGGTGGCCGCCACCCCTGCGGCCGGTTGAGTCACGGCGCGGGAAGCGGCGCTGTAATGCCATTAGGAGCCCGGGCACTGTAAGTCAGGTCGCGGGCGTTAAAAGAGGCCCTTAACACCAAATATGTGGGGCCTAGCGGGGCCCGCGGGGGTCCGGCGGGGTCCCGGTGCGCGGGGGTCCCGGTGGGGTCCGGGCCGCGCCACGTGGGCGCCGAACAAAAAGCTAACAGATTGCATAACAATGAGAGCGGGCGCGGTGATGGACAGGAGCGGCGGCCAAATGGGGTGGCGGAGGCCGGTCTGCCCCCCGGGCAGCCCAATGGCGCTTCGCCGAGGGGGCGGGGCCCCGCGGCCCGACTTTTATTAATGAGCGGGGGGGGGGCTCCGTGTGTGTCCAAGTGGCTGAGAACGGGCAGGGTTGTGACACCGATGAGCGCGGCCTCGCTTGTGTGTGGGCAGCGAGTGGCCCCCCCCACCCCAGTTGTCCTCCCAGTAGCAAGGGTGGTTTGGGCTTGCTGGGCAGAGCCCCCGAAGCCTGGGGGGGCTGCGGTGTGGGCTGGGGTCCACGAGCAGGAATGTGTCCTGGAGGACCAGGCCTCTGCCCACAATGCCAGTGGGGATTTGGGTATTTCGGGGGACCTTTAGTGAGTGGCTGTATTTTCCCCTGAAGCTTAGGAAAAAAGTTGGAGGCGCATCTCTAAAGCGAGAGTGGTCACAAGTGTGTCTGCAGCCTGGTCATCTCACTGTCCCCAGGGCCAGCTTCCTGCCACTGGGCTTTGCTGGCATAGGACAAACTGCACTGACAACAGGCAGGGTGCTTTGGGGTCAGTTATACTTTATTTAGGTCTTTCTGTTCCCGGGCTTGGGATGCCTTCGAGGTTCAGGGTCTGTCGAGGGACCCCTTCACCTCTCCCTTCCCCCCTGCACAGTGGGGGATTGTCCCCTCTGTCCCCGGGAAGCCGGGGTTGAATGGGCTTTATCACTTGTGAAAAGTAACAAGTCACCGAGGTGAGAAGCTGCAGCCGAGGGGAACAAAGGGCAGCTCTGCCCCCACATCCCTCATTTACAATTCCAATGGGCCATGAAAGCACCCGACTGGGATGAACTTTGGAGCTAGGCTGTCCCAGCATCTTGCTCCTCCAGTCCCTCCCAAGCAGGAGGGCTCAAGTGTTTCTTGCCTGATGATCCTTTACATGAACACATGTTGCTCCTGGTGCTGAAGTGAGGCAGAAATAAAGCCCCGTCCCATTTTGGGGGACCAGGCACATGAATGTGGAAGGAATTCTGCTCCTCTCCACACAATTGTATTGGAAGAGCACTTAAATCACATAGTCCCTTCAGGAGGTCTCAGAGTGGCTTTGCAGTGCATGAACAAACTTCAGTGGGACAGCAGCAGGGAGATTGTCCAGGGGGGCTCTGGGGACTCCCACAAAGGGGCGACTGGTGGTTCCCAGCTGACGGGGATTTGTTCTTTCTTTGCCACGTCTGTTTTGAGCAGAAGGAGAAGAGATCGATGTGGTGACGGTGGACAAGAGACAATCTCTCAGCCTGAGGAAGCCAGTGACCATCACCCTGCGTGCAGACCCCCTGGACCCCTGCATGAAACGCTTCCACATCTCCGTCCACCAGCAGCAGCACAACTACGCCGCCCGCTCGCCACCAGACTCCTGTGTCCCGCTGGAGTCACCCCAGCAGGACCAGGACCGAGACGAGGACGAGCCACCAAGTGCCGCAGAGCCAGTCCCTGCCATCACACCTCCTGAGCCCGGCTTGCCCAAGCTCAGCAGCAGCCCCGGCTCCGACAGCGAGGACGTGGCCAAGAGGAAAAACCACAACTACCTGGAGCGCAAGCGGCGCAACGACCTGCGCTCGCGGTTCCTGGCCCTGCGGGACCAGGTGCCCGGGCTCGCCAGCTGCCCCAAGACGCCCAAGGTGGTGATCCTGAGCAAATCCTCCGAGTACCTGCAGTCGCTCATCAGCGCCGAGAGGCGGATGGCAGCCGAGAAGCGGCAGCTGCAGCAGCGCCAGACCCAGCTGCTCAAACGGATTGCTCACCTCAAGGGGCACTAGCACCCAGGGTACCCCCCGCCCCGGTCCCCACAACCCCCCTGGCTCCCTCTCAATTTGCACATTTATTTTTTTTTTTTTTAGTTTTTGGTTGTCTGTTGGACTGTTGGCCCCGGGGGGCTGGAGCACATGGCGGTTGCTGCATGTGGGGTGGCCGTGGTGCTGCTCCTGGATGAGGGAATGGGGCCACGGTGGAGACCCCCCCCATGGCATCACCTGCCTGGGGCTGGTTTCTTGGCACCAAGTGTTGCAAGATTTCCCCTGTTCCTGCTGTGAAGCTTTGTCGAGTGATTACTTCAATTCAAGAGCTCAACTCTACTCCCCCTCCCCAGCAGCCCCTGCACCCCTCTCTGCTGTTTTCCACCAACAGCATCACTGGGAGCTGCCCCTGGGCATCCATCTCACCCTAAAAATCCCAAGCAACCACGGTCTGCCTTGGCTGGTGGAAGCAGGCAGACACAGAGCCCAGCACAGGCCTCGTCTCTGGATGGATCCCACGGAGATGGTGAGGGCAGGATGTGTCTCTCACCAGGGTGAGCAGTACCCTGTGGGTGATCCCCTTGTTCGGCTGGACCGTACCTCACTTCCTTCTCACTTCCTTCTCACTTCACGCAGTAGCTCATCTTGGATTTTATGTTCTAGAAACTGCTGCTGTAACTGCGAGTCTTATACTGGAGGCTGTGTTTTTATACTGTATTTTTGTACCACTTTTTGAGAAGTATTGGTAAAAGAGTTTGCTTTTTTTATATATATATAAAAACTTTTTTTTTAAGGGGGGGGTTTCCTGCTGCAGGGGAGGGCTCAGTCCTGCTGCACTTTAGGGAGATCAGGAAGGGGCTGGCTCCTGCTGGACCCTCGAGCTGAGTCCTCACAGAGGCCATTTACCCCCTTGCAGCTCTCCAAACCACCCATTTGCAATAACAGGGGATTTTATCCCTTTCCTCTCCTTGTGAGTACCCTTGTGACCCCTTTTCCCACCCTTGTGAGTACCCTCTCACCAGCAGCCACTTAAAATCCTCAGCGAAGCTCTGGGCTTTGCAGGGGGCAGGTTGTGCATGTGTGTGGGGCTGCTCTGCCTTCGAGGCTTCCCCCTGCCTGTGCCCTCCTGCTGCCCAACCTGCGGTGGGGTACGTGGGTGGCAGAGTCCCCTGTCCCCTCCCAGGGGTGCTGGCAGGGGTGGTCCTGCAGGACAGCACCCTTGGGCCCCCACTGACCTGCTGAGAACTGTTAGAGTTAACACTGTGGTCGGATTTAGCACTTTCTTCATTACCTCACACTTCATAAATAAATAAGTTTGCAACAGCCTGGGTTGGCTTTTTCCATGCAGTCGGCTGTGGGTTTCCATGCATCACATCGTGAGGCTCCTTGGGGGGGCTGACCTGGCCCCTGTGTTTTGGGGTATCCTGGACATTGAATGGGAGTTAATATATTTTGCACCAGGGCTCGACTGTGCCAAGACTGAGCTCTTTGTCCTGGTTTTCTCCCAGCAATTGAAGAAGTGTTCATAGTGGTGGGGCCAGGGAAATGAATCACCTGGATTATTTTTCCTCTTTTTAAGTGGTTTTATTGGCAAGGAGGGGCAGAGAGAGCCCACACTGGGCTCAGAGGAGGCTTTGGTGTAACTATAAACCCCCCTAATGGGGCTCGGGGCAGGCAGTGTGGGGTGATCACCGCCCCACAGGTCAGGGGCTGTGGCTGGCAGTAACCCTATAGGGAGGGGGGAATGCAATCCCCTCGCTTCCAGGGGCATTGGAGAACTCCCTATCCCAGATCTGCCAAGTGGATGAAATTATATATATGTGTGTTCTCCGTGCTGCCCCCAAACTCAATGCATTTGGGTTTCCTTTGTCCTGGCAGCAAAAGTCTTACTCTAAATGCAGGAGGGACATGGGATCCTGTTACTGCTGAGGAGTCAGGAGAGAGGAGCTGCTGCTGGAGATTCAATCACCCGGGGGAAACCAGCCTTAAACAGCAACCATTCCACCCAGAAGCCCTTAAACACCCACCCTTTGGTTCCAGCAACATTTCGCGCTCTGTGTGTTGCATCACACCGTGTCACAGCCGTTCAGAGCTGCATTAAAAGGTGCTCTCGTGACCTACAGCTTAACCAGGGAGCAGGGTGACCTAAATCTGACACCTCGCCCATGCGCAGGAAACAAAGCCCAGATGTACCAGCCCTCAAACGGTTATTTTTGTTGTGTGTACACTCACACTTGCAGCCTGGCTGTCTTTTTTCAGCTCAAGGTGACCCTCCCGAGAAGCTTTTTAGTGAGTTGGGCTTTTTGATTTCGTGCTCAAGGCACATCAGAGGTTTGAAACATTAATTATCTTTCTTGGAAGTGATGAGCAAATCCACGGTCTGAGCTGAGACTGTTACCAGTGGGAGATGTAGTTGGTCGGGGGTGAAATAAGGAACAGCTCCAGTTTTGCATGTACCTTTGAGTTCTCCTGCTTAAAGCTGCATACACAAGTACACACCTACCTGAAACTTCCCTGGTTACTGGTGCATGTGTCTCCTCTCATATCACCAGTCAGGATGAGGAAAGGAGACTGACAGTGCTGTGAAGTGAATAAAATAAACACACAGGGCTTTCCCCCTTGCTTGTTCAGCACTGCAGTTTGTGAGTGTCAGCTGTAATCACCACAGTTCGGTGTTTCCGGGCCTGAATTAGTTATTTTTTTATCACACACTGCCCTGCTCACACCCTGCTCCTTGCTGTACCCCCCAAACCACCTCTGCTCGCCCATCACATCAGCACCGGCCTGGGGGTGTCGTGGGCACGATGCCGCCTTCACGCCTGGGCTGGCAAATTTTTTAGGACAGTTTCCCCGAGCGGCGATAATCCTCCTTCCCTTGCCGAGGCGGGCCGGCTGCCCGCACCCCCCTTCCCTCCCGGCCCGCAGCCTCCCTCCCGCTGTTGCCATGGCGGAAAGGCATGTGTGTTTTGCCGGGGGAAAAGCGCACCGAGGAGGTTTGCCATGGCAACCGCCTCCCCATTTCCCTGCCCTCTGTTGCACCGGAGACAGCCGCCCGCCTCTCCCCATCCCTCCAGTTGCTGTGGCGATGGGAGACGAGCCTCCGCCGGAGCCTGCGGTTGCCATGGCAATGTGCTCTTCTCCCTCGCCATGGCAACAGCCCCGCATCATCCTACTCTGCCCCGTTGCTATGGCAACAGCCCCCGCTCCTCATCCTCCCGCACCGTTGCCGCGGCAACAGCAGCCCTTCCACCCCGTTATACTCCCTGTAAAAAATAGGGACCGCGGGGCTGAGCCCCACGCGTGGACACGGGTGTGAGGGGCCCAGAGGGATTTTGGGGGGGGAAGAGGGGAGCAAAGGCCCCCAAAAGGAGGCAGGGGCGTGGGGATGGGTTTGGCGACCCGGAATGCGGGAAGGGGAACCGGGCTGGCTCTGGGGACCCGGGACTCGGGGAGGGAGGGACCCAGGGGTACGGGGAGAGACCGGGGGACACGGGGAAGAACCGCGGCTGGGTCTGAGGACCCGCGGGGCGAGACCGCAGGGGACACGGGGAAGGACAGCTGGGGCACTGGGGAGGCCGGACACGTGCGAGGGCCCGGGGTCACGGGGGGCGGGCTTGGGACACGTGGAGGGCCCCGGGGGCACCGGGAGCGACCGCTCTTGGCTCCGAAACGCCGGCGGGCAGGGCACACGGTGCTCGGGGCCAAAAGGCCCGGACCCTAACCCCGCGGGCGCCGCCCGCCCCGTCCCGCCCCCGTCCCGCCCCGCCGTGGCCGGCCGGGCCCATGGCGGCGGCGGCCCGCGCTGTGCCTGGGCCGGGCCCCGCGGCCGCCGCGGCCGCTCGTGGTGATCCTGCGGAGCCACCGGCACGGGAAGTACGCGCTGGCGCTGGCAGCTCGGGCTTGCGCCTCGCGGGGAGATCGCAGCGCCGACTCCATGCAAGGTACGGCCGGGAGCGGGCCCGGGCCCCGGGCCGGGCCCGCGGGCCCGCTGGGGAGGCGGCCTGGGCTGCACCGCCGGGAGGCCCCGGGCTGGGCCCTGAGGGGGCGGCAGGGCCCGGGCGGGGCTCGGAGGGGCTCAGCCCCGGGTGGCTGCGCTCGGTGCCCCCCCGCGGAGCCCCCGGGCCCTGTGTCGGGGTGCCTGCCGGGGAGAGCACGGGGAGCGGATCCTGCTCGCTGGGAGCGCTCCCGGTGCCCCGTCCCGGTGCCCCTGTCCCAGCCCCAGTGACCCTGTCCCGGTGCCCCTGCCCTGGTGACCCTCTCCAGGTCCCGGTGACCCTGTTCTGATGACCCTGTTCTGGTGACCCTGTCCAGGCCACAGTGCCCCTGTCCGGACATGGTGCCCGTGTCCTGTCCCAGCCCTGGTAGCCTTGTCCCGGTGCTCCTGTCCCAGCCCAGTGTCCTGGTGTCCCTGTCCTGATGCCCCTCTCCCAGTCCCACTGTCCCAGTCCCAGTGCCCCTGTCCTGATGTCCCTGTCCCAGCCCTGGTGCCCCTGTCCCGGTGGGTAGTTGTTTGTTCTGTGTGAGCAGTGTCACCATCTCCTCTCCTGCAGCCAGAGGACAGTGCCCTGTGGGTTTGTGGGCTCTGAACATGGCAGCACAACCAAAACTGCAGGGCTGGGAGTATACAGCCCCCCCATCCCAAATAAAATCCTTTTGAAAGGAAACCAAAACAAAGCTGTTTTAATTTTAGCCCACCCAAAGCTATGTGGAGGTGTAAGGGGTTAACTGAGGGAGGCAGCAGCTGGAGTTACTTAGTAATGAGTGACACCCAGGGTGATATCCTCCTCACTAGCAAAGAGACACCAAGAGATATGGGAAAGGGTATTAAAAATTATATTTGCTACTTGCCAGTGACAAGTGGTGTTGTCTCTTATTGCAAACAGCAGCATGGAATAAATATATCAGTTGTTTACTTGGGTTCAGTCAACGCTGAGGAGCCATACCTCATTTTTTGGTCCTAATGGTGTTCAGCTGCAGGATCTTTGTCACAATGTACATTTCGGCCACCACAAGAATAACAATTTTGTTATTGTTTAACAAAATGTTTTCCTA